CCGGGATTAAAGGGGAGGTTCTCAGAACAAATTCTTCTAAAATAATATTTGAAGAGAAAATTACAACCTTCAAATCACATCTGCTGCAGAGAGGTTACCCAGAGGATCTCATTAACGCAACCCTCTCAGAGGTTTATTTCAAAGACAGCAAACTTAAGCCCTTCAACAAAAACAAAAGAGAAACCTACGAATATTGCCTTTTGTCACACAATACCAACCACCAGCGCTTAACCTAAAGCAAATTCTCATGAGAAACTGGCATTTTTAAATAGAACAACAACTATTACTGAGCGAAATCTACAAAATCCGACCCTTATATCACACAAAAGAGGGCGGCGCTCAAAGACATACTATGAAAAAGGCGATGTGGTGAAGGCCTGTCAACCCCATTTTACACGGCGGATTAAATGTTACTTCGAACCCTAACCTTTCGAATGTTTTCTCCAAACAGGAAATCTTTAAAAGAAAACAAATCCGAACAAACGAAATTTATAGCAAGCGAAACAGGCAAGCGAAACATCCCCACTAACTGAACTATCTGAACGCCTGGAACAGGCTACTAAATAACTGGCCCTAAGTCCCGGTTCAAACGTCGAACTTTACACGTGCCCAACCTAATGCATAAATTATGTTAACTTTTCAATATAACCGCGCTTCTGATTGGCTATTTAGTAGGTTTTAAGCGTAACGACGGTTGCCAGCGTGAAGACGGTTGCTAGCGTGAACGACGGTTGCCAGCGTGAACGACGGTTGCTAGCGTGAAGCGTAACGACGGTTGCCAGCATTCACGTTGTAGATTTTTAAACTGAAACTGGACAGCTTGAAACGGTCTTCTAAGAGGTTGCTTTTCTTTATATCCATAAAGAAATCGTATTGTATTTTAAAATTTATGGCGTTACTTTATTTTGTCCAAATATCACGATCACGATCTCCTCAGCTGTCTCCTTACCCTAACAGAACACAAATCTCACTAAAATCAAAACAAGTATTTCCAGGCTTGTTGAATTTTTTTTCTCAGTTTATTTCCCTGTTTTAAGCAGTAAGGATAATATTTGTTTTCGCCACGAATTAAGTTCGGCACATGTAAAGTTCGACCGTCTGAATAAACAGTCGAACTTAATAATAATAGGTATTAGGTTCGGCACATGTAAAGTTCGACGTTTGAACGGGGGCCTTAGTGTCTCATAAATACAAGTAAACAAAATAATACAATGGAAAATTTCCCAGAATGAAGTGCCTAAACTCACTCTTCTCGAAGTACAATAAATTTTAAGAGAAGCCACAAAGGCAAATGCATGCCGGTTCGGCAGAAAGACTTCTAATGAGGCTAATTTGTAATTGAGTTCCTTGTTGAATCGAAATCTTTTTGACGTACAGGAATCCAGTAGATATGAGAATTTGTCACCTCCAAGCAAATGAACCGTAAAAAGTTGATTACTTCTACAGAGCTTCCCTGCTGATGTTCGCCTATTGAATAGGCGAACATCAGCAGAGGTCTACGATTTCACTGAGACCTCTGAGCTCCTCTGAGACCTCGTCATGCTTTTCCAGCTCTTCTGCGCAAGACGAAACCCTTTCTCTGACTTCTCGACCGCTTACCTCTATATTTTGTAGTAGCTGGAGGGAATTTAGTCCTTCTTTGATCGCTCTAAAACGCCTTCGTCTGCATTGCATCGGCGTATTAAGGGCTCGGGCTAAGGTTCTGGAAAAGATGAGTCTTTTTTCAACAGATGGCAAAAGTAAATAGAAATTATTTCTATTTACTTTTGTCAGTTCTTTGAAAACTGAAGAAGTATGCGCTGGTGCGTCCCACGTTGAGATTTATGCAACTGGCCTCAGGGGCACCCGACGTCAATTTATGGAAAAAATATCTGTTCGGAAGACGATTTGAGATCTAGAATGTTTGGAACATTTTTTGTAAAATTTCTTGCTTGCCTGCCTCTCCTAGGATTTTCGAACATCTAAAAAATTGTATAATTGCCCATTTTAACGGATTTTTACCTAGCTTCACCTAGAATTTTGGGGGCCTCTTTTCTGGCTGAAATTTTCGAAAAGGTAAGTTTTGATCCCTATAATTTTCGGGTAACTAAACTTTCAGCTAGGAAATCCGAACAGATGAAAATTTTTAGGGGATATTAATATGCCTGTATCTACCGTTTAAATACTAAAATACGTCCAACAATGCTATGTTTAAGTGTTTTTGAACTATATTCTCGTTGGGTACGCCTGCTGGCTCCCAAATTTAAAATCAAGTGACTGCTGAGATGCCAGAGATGCCAGTCTATTCGGAATTATAAGTAGGAAAAACGCCTAGTTTAAAGCCAAAACTAGAATAAGCCAATGGAATGGCAAGTCGTTCTGTAAACATGTAATTGGGACTTTTTTATGATTGTTTCCACGAAGTTATGAAGTTTATTCCTACACACCTGCGTCATTCGGGTCCATTTTCAGTTCAGTGAACATGAACGACGTGTCTTTTTCTAAACTGAACATGGGAATGTGAAGTCTGTTCTAACTTCTAAATCTCGCCATTTATCGTCAGTTAATTCATTTTCAAACTATTTTAATGATGACATTTTTTTGAAAAAATCATAAACGATGGCATTTTTTAAATCATGCACAGATGGCTTTTAATAGACGCTAAAAATGCATACCCCGACTCTAAAAAAACTCAAAACCGCCGATCCTTTTCTTGCGGTCTCAATTATGTAAGGGTTCTCCCTCACTGGCTGACAAATAAACAACGCCAGGAGTAGCTTTGAAAATTTAACCTGATGTTCTGAACTGGACTGTATCTTTACCGCAGTTGATTTACTTTAGACTAATATCAAACAAAAACTGTAATCCTCTGATAAGATATCAATGATTTGGCAAAGACTGCCTTCTTATCTTTAATCCATTTTACAAGTGCGCTAGGATCAAAGATCGTTTTTTCATGGAAATGTCAACAGACGAGAATGATCTAACTGGTGAAGGGTTCATTACCTTACGATTGTAAAATAGTCAAAATGTCGAGATTTCACGGTTCTATGACTCGTACAGAAATAGAGCTAACAAGGAGCATAACCTTCATTTGACTGCTGGTTGCGTCAAAGAGAACAGTACCTCGCAGTTTCCGTGGTAAGTACGCTGCTTCCTTTTCAGTTACATAATCAATTACTTCTATTTTCTAAAGTGTATCTCACGGTGTTCGTGGCTGAAGCAGCAGTCGGTTAATTGATGATTAGGCTAGTGCTCTGAGCTCGTCTTCCACATAGCCATAGGGTAAGTTCGAGTTTTCAGCTTGTTTTCGGTCCCAGAAGCTCATATGTAAATTGCGTTTGAGTTTGCGTTTGCTGACGATTCTCGTCCCTGCAAGCGATTGTCTACAGCATAGGTTTGGGGCTAACTGCTTGAAAGGCAGAAATCTTAATGTGAAGGGGTGATGAATGGTCCATAAAAATTTTTAACTGCTCGCAAAATTTAAACGAGTGCTCGCTTGTTCGTGCTCCTAAACTTTTTGCAGTTGCTAGCATGCTTGCTTTCTTGTCAGTATTGCTCGAAATTTTGTAAATCCTTCTTTGGGTTACAGTAAATTTTTGTGTATAGTGTTGAATTTCTATAAATATGGCTATCAAGTGTCATTCACGTCAGCCGTTACACTTTCTTCTTCCAATCTTTCGGTGAGGTCCTTCAAACTCGCTGGATTGTTTGGAAGCTTCGGTCGGCCATAGGCGCTGATAGGCAAAGTGCCTGGATTGTCTTTGGTTCATTTCGCTTTCACGCTCAGCTGTCGTGTGCTATCGCCATAAGTTCTAGCCCATTGCCTATTCTTTTCTACATCTTCTTTGCATCCTTTCCTCGCTAAAGGCTAAAGACAACCATCCCATCGGGAACGTCATAATACGAGTATGGCGAGGTAAAATAGCTGAAGTTACAATTACTGATTCTTTGAGAGTTTCTTCTACGGCAGCAGAAAATTGGTAGCAAAACTGTTGAACTGTTGGCATGTCATAAATGGATCTCATTTTTGAGTCGAAATGCTCGATGAGAAGAGTCACCAAGGCTTTCACATTTACCTTGCTTACGTAATCTCGATGTACAGCTTCTATTTCACGTTGAATTCGTTTTAAAGCCTCCAGGGTCATTCTCGTTCTAGAAATAGTCTTGGAGGATGGAACACCGTGAGGGCCTTCTACAAACGTTCTGCCACCGACTCTGGCCCTTGCTGCAGTGATGGCTTCTTCAAAGTAAGAAACTGCTTCTTTCATAATGGAGATCACTGTTAGAAGATCGGGAGGTTGGTTGCTGTGAATCCCATGTGAAGTATACAGCATAGAATTATGCTTTAAAAAATCTGCAAGTGCTTCAGTGGGTGATACGATTTTCACGGCAGCTGCACCGGTGTCTGTCAAAAATATTGTCTCTCTTTCTGCACAGATGCCAGTTGGTTGGACAAAAGAAGCCGTTTTCTCGCAACCATCTTTTGATGCATCAATTCCTGACCCCACGATATAATTTGCTGCACGGGAATCAAATCTACCAATCCTCCTTGCTTCCACATGGGAAAACACTAAGTTTCCCTTGCTTGTTGCGGAAACATCGACGACAGTCTTCAAGGACGGTGATCCCTTCTTTATGAGCTTGGTGAAAGATGCGTCTTTGCAATCTACCAAGTAGATTCCTCCAGATGGACTAGAATCGGCCACACAAAGGTCCTCCGTTTGGCTGTTCATGATGGCCAGGCCTGTCACACAGGCACTCCCAGGGAGACTTACAAAGTCCTCTGTTGGTGCTTCGAAGGCTAGACCGTTGGATTTGACTGCCATTTTCAAAATCACACTAGAATTTTGTTGACTTAAGAAAAGGCCTTCTATTTTTACGTCAGACACAAGAGCCATTGGAGACAAACCATGAATTAATATTTCTGAAGCTCTCGCCTTTCCAATACTTCTTACATTTTCATTCATCCACAAGGAAAGACACCCCTTCATTTGAGCAACTGTCAATTTTTCCCCCATCTCCAATAATCCTCTCTCGACAACAGTTAAATTTAGCGTTTAGTTGTCGACAACTCGTCTCACACACTGCGTTTTTTTAGTTGTCGATAACATTTAGTTGTCAAAAACAAACCGTTGTCGACAATTAATAAGCTTATCTAGTCTGTGGAGGCCACCAGCTAATTTCAACTACGGGATCATTTGTTGTTTGTATGCCCTAAAAACCAAACGAAGTAAAACATACCTGCCAGCATGTCACACAATTACAAGTTTTCTTCAGTTGGCTCTTCCAGCTTCTTGTAGCTTTGTTCTTCTTGTGACTTTGCTTACTGATCCGTACGAACACGTGCGTGATGAAGTGAAGCGAAAATGTGACGTCAATTGGCATCAAACGCGACTGCAATTGGTTAGATCTCGATAAGGTGTCACTCAAACTAACTTCTAAGAACTTGGTGCGCTCTAAATTAAAACCCCGTTTTAAAAATATTTTCTGTCTTATTTTAAAGAAAAGGATTTCCATATGGATTGCTGAAAGCGGAAAATATAAGAAGAGCTCGCTGCTCGCGAGTTGTACTCTCTAAACTGCTCGCTGCTCGCAAAGCAAATTTTTTATCTCTGCTCGTGCTCGCACGCTCGCGATTGCTCGCAAAGACCATTCGTCACCCCTTTGTGAGAACAGTTGAGGTTCATCTTGATTCTGTAGCCGATACTAAACTACTTGGCATAAAGATAGACAGCTGTTTTTAGACAACCGTATCGAATTGGCCTTTTGAAAAGAACAGATAAATTTCTGTGATTGAAAGCTGAGAACTTTGTTTTACAACTCACTTAACCTGAGATCAGGCCCAATTTTAGCGGTTCTCATACATTCTCTCAAACGGCCACCGCTAAAATTGGACCTCATACAAACTCTCCCAAGTTTGTGCTCAGTGCGGCCAGATTTTCGCCGCAACGCTGATTGGCTGTTAGAACAATGCCACAAGATCTGATTGGCTGTTGTAATCAACGGAAGTTGTAAGCGCTTATATTCCTCGCGTGGTTGTTTTCGCGAATGATCCGCCGACGGCGGAGAGAAGGACCGATTTTGCTGTCTTTTTCATTGTTTTATGGTCTCATAGTAGGAAAATATGCCTTACTATGTGCCATGGAAATTCAGAAAATTCAGATGGTTGTTCATATCTTGTCAGGATTTGCTTTATTTACGGAACTAATGTGAGTGTATCGCAGAGTTTAATCTCTCTGCAAGTTGTTGAATAGTTAAGCAAGGACGACGACGACGGCAGTGAAAACGTCGGTAAAAAAATGAATTTGCCTTCTTTCAGACTTAATCGCGTCTATTTGGACCCACTCAATATGTCAAATGCAGGCGACTTTTCCTGGGGTTGAATTCTTAAGAATTTTATTCAGGTTCAAAAAGATGAAGGAAAATTCGTCGTCGTATGTCCACGTCCTCCATAAAACGTTAAATTAGAAGGTTTCACGTAGTAAACAGCGTGTTGCACGTGCAAAGCTGTTGTTTTGATCATTAAAGCCATTGTTTTTTTGAAGTCGTCGTTGTGGTCGTCGTCGTCGTAGTTGCTTAAGCTCTCTAATGTGTAGAATGTGCCTTTTGATTTACCAACAAACGAGTGCAAATCAAAATACTGTCCATCCTAAAACTGGTTTCATTTGAAAGTTTAGCCGGGAATGACTTCTCTGAACAGGGTACGCAAGCGGAGGCTCACTGCGAAAGAAACCTCAATCGCCAACTGTGAAGTGTCAGACGAAAAATGTCGCATCGCTGCTCAAGGAATTTTTGTAGATATTATCATAAAAGCTACAACAATGTAGTGGCGCTAAACAGACTTGTTGTTTGCCTTCGCGTTTTGTAAAAAATAAACCAGGAAAACTAGTGTCCTCGCTCGTTGGCTGTTTGCGGTTTCTTAATTTCGATTAATAAATTTAGCGAGCTTTTCAGACTTGCAGTAAAGGAACAACACAACTAAAGAGAACTACAAAGTGTGTTTGTAATCATGAGGCCTACTCTGGGACCTAAAGTCGCCTAAAGTCGCCCAAAGTCGCCTTAAGTCGCCTTAAGTCGCCTAAAATCGCCTTAAATCGCTTAAAGTTGCCTTTAGTTTCCTTAAGTCACTAAATCATTCAAATCTTAACGAGGTTCAAATTGTCTTGTAGCTATTACTTTTTTAGTTTTCTATTTCCAGAATGCATGATTTCTCATAAAGTGTATAATAACCCGTGTTCAATAATATTAGCCACAGACCCACCCCACCCCCCACAAAAAAACTCCCACGGTGACTTAAGACCCATTAATTTCTTCTCCAGCCCTCTAATTTATACATTTAATTACTTTACACAATTTACTACACGTAATAATTAGTCGTAAGCAATACAAGAATAATCATTCCTGTATTGTTTATGCAAAAATGACAACATATAGTACACAACTTTATCCAGTCACTTGTACAGGTATTTTATTAATTTCATCCGGGAGGTTTGTCTCATATTTCTCAGTAAAAATATTGTTTAAAAAGGCATTCAAAGGTTCAAGTTCTAGCTAAACTACATTAAACAGTGTGCAAAGAGAGTAGACAGAGTAGTGTCCAGGCAATAGCCCTGGGGTACTGGATTTTATGATTGGGCTAGTGAACTGCGTTTTTAACTTGCCTGGCTGGCAAGTAAAGTTTTTTAGGGAATTCAGATTACAGAAGAACTGTAATCAGTCCCATTCATAAAAAAAATTGGGGTTAGTCAAAATGGCTTTCAGGCTAGTGTATGCTAGGCAAGCTGTAAAGCCGACTTTCTTTGCACCCTGAACAAAATATAGTTAAAACTCTTTTCTACTGCTTTGTGAGAGTCCAACATTGAAAGACATTTCAAGTAACTAAGATCAATACAGGTAGGTTGAAGGGAGAGAAAAAAACAATTATTGCCGCCACAACATTAATCTAAATTTTCTGGTAGTTAATACAAGTCTAAAGGTCAATCGAAAAAAGTGTCCATGTAAATTACCGACCCAGATTTTAAGAGCAACTAATGATAAGTTTTTTCTCCGGCACACAACCTCTGATCTGTATTTACCGTCGAATTATATCCATCTATCATTGACAGAAACACAATCACTCTTATAAACTTGAACACTTAGCTTAGCTTGTACAGTCGTCTCTTTAGGTCTTCCCTTCCAGACAGAAATTCAAGCTTTGTACATCGAAGGTGCGTAATACTGCTCTTTGTTTATGTTGTCGTGATTGCTCCCTGCCAAACGATTTGATGTAATCGATCATTATTGATGAAGAACGTAGAAAAGCGAAATAATACTGTTCTTTCCTCTACGTTATGGCCGCCCAGAAAGTAGTGTGTTTTGATCACGTGACTAACTGGTCTGGAGGCGGGGAGAGGGCGGGACCGAGAAACCATGGAAATTAGCTTGCGACTGCAGTGGAATTCTGGGAGAAGCAAAATGGCGGATAGAATGTTGTACCTCGCGTTTTCGTATAAAGATCTCCTTTTAAATGGAAATTTCTGACATAATAATGGAAACGTTTACACTTGGTACTGCCATCGGTTTAAACATGACGCATAATGCTTCCTTTTGTGCTGAGAGCGTAAACGCTGCCGCGTGGAACAGACCGAGAGAGGTTGGTTGAAGCTAAGCTTAGTTGTTTACGTTTCTGCTGGTGCATAAATGCACTCATGAAATCAACCCGACTGGAAAGTTTCCAGAGAGACCATGGATAAGAGAGTACGGTTCACTAGCGAAGCAAGTATTTGGAAGTGTTTTGTTTGACTGAGACAGGAAAGGAGCAATATATATACGGCGAGAACTACAAACTTTTTGTTTTGAATTCAATTGGAAAAACATCCTCTTAGCCAAGCGTGTGGGGACAAACATTGGCAGAGCAACTGCCAAGACATACAATGGGGATCGTCATTTCCATAATGTGCGATATCGATAAGTGATTTTAGATGTTTTAAATTAATTACTTAAATGTTTGTTGTCAAATTATGAAAAAAAGACACTTCAATATAAAGTTTTTGCTACAAACCAGCTCACAGTATGTTACAGAGATGTATTGAAATACTCTACTTTTATGGTTTTATTTTTTGGAAAAAGAAATGCAGGAACCATTGATTTTTTGTCCCTTATATTATGAAATAATGCATTTAAAGACCAAGAGAAAATTTACCCTTTTGGTTGCTTCTAACTCAGATTTTGTCTCTGCTAATGTAATACTAAACCAACACCCTTGATATTAGCCTGTGCCACAGATGGAACTAAACTCTGGGTTAAGTCCATCTGCAAAACAGTGGCAAAATCCTAGTTCTGGGCCCCCTGTGTGTGTATCAGGATTAGAGAACATGCCAGGACTGGACTGTTAAAAATGCCATTGTCCATTTGCCAATCATGTTGAAGGGGAACTCAAAATGCTGGTAATTCATTTAGTGCATCAGGGCCCAGAACAAGGATATTAGAGCTGCTTCACGAATGTTACTAACCACGGTTAGAATACACCTGCAACACAAGCTACCTTGATATTTAATGTTCAAAATATTAGGTAGCTGAGATTGTTGAAAATTTGGAAGACTAATGTAGATGTCTTCAAGACTGAATTAACTTATGCTACAACATTGTGTCCCTAGAGAGGTAGTGTTATCAGATTTTGATTTTGTATATGTTGTAGTTCATTTTTATTTCAGTTAATTTTTATTTTTCCATCGTTTCTGGGTATGGTTATGTATGCTAATGAATTTAAAACAAAGGGAAACCAAAAATTAACTGAAATTAAAAATTAACTGCAACATATTGACACTAACATGTAACTCACCTAAATGTCACCTTTTTCTCCTTAAGTCGCCTAAAGTCGCCTTAAATCACCTAAAGTCGCCTTAAATCGCCTTAAGTCACGCAACATTTTGACCAAATTTTCCTAAAGTCGCCTTAAATCGCCTTAAGTCGCCTAAAATTACGGCGACTTAAGGTCCCAGAGTAGGCCTAATCATGATTGTTTTTCGTTTTGTTTATA